AAAGTAAATCAGAGCTAAAAAAGTGCAAAAACGCAGGCAAATTTGCCTGTGTTGGTCTACATATTAAGGGATAATATTACTATATTGTAAATAAAGTTCATATTGTTCTGGAGTCATCCAAAATAGTGATACTAAAGAGTTTGCTGCTAGATCCACACACCAATTTATAGTCCATTGAATATTTTCAGCTTTATGCTTAATAAAGTAATTAATCAGTATTATAGTTTCACAATCAACATTTTGTTTAGCTTTAACTCTTTAAATAGCGTTTGATAGGTCTTGGAGTAAAAAAAAATATATTTTCATACTTCACTTCAAGTAATTGATGTTGAGTACACATACTAAGATTCTCTTTAGTTATCCAGAATTCTATATTAGCCAACATTGGCTCTGTTAATATTTGATAAGTAAAACCAAATTTTTTGGTAAAGAGATTTAAAAGATGATTTCTATATTCTAAGTACAGAGAGGTAATGCTAATAATATCAGTTTTTTTTGGGCATGTGGTATTTATGACCCATGGACATCTACTATGTTTAGACATGTATTGTGCTGTTTTTTAACAATCATTATCTTTTTTCCTTGATTACTGCCCTAATATTCGCATCTATAATGACAATGTTTTCTTATTCTATTATTATATTCTGCCCCATAAATAACTTTAGAAGTTTTTGGAATTACAATAGGCATCAATATACCTATCAAGTTCTATCCATAATTTAAATAGCATACCAGATTCTGGTATTGGAATTGGTAAAAGAGATTCAGATATGTTAATAACACTATCCAATAATTGTTTATTATTAATAATAATACTATTAGATGATAGTTCATTAATAAGTAGCACTGGTGAATTCAAGTTTAAATTTTCATTAGCCAATTTTGATACTTGGATGGAACTATCATAATAAAAAAGTAAGTAAATGACTAATATATTAAATACTAAACCTATTTGATTATATGAAAGTTAAAACTATAGTACTTATTAGTAATAAGTTACTATAGCTTTAACTTTTATATAATCGAATAGATCTATCACGATGCTTTACTAAATAAATTACCTTGCTTCATATATATATTTGTTTTGTATTATTAATACTTGGATAGAACAGCTGGAACTTATAAAACTAAAGTAAGTAAACTAATACAATATTATACAATTGCTAGTTGTTGTACTGTTTAATTGTAGAAACTAACTAATAATTATCTTGTTTTATATATTTTGTGAATGGAATGAATGGAATGGCTAGACAACTGGAATAAATAGAATAGCTGAACAACAGGAACAAATAGAATGGTTAAACAACAGAAACAAATAGAACAACTAGAACCAAGAAAACCATAGTAAGTAATCTAATAATATAATTACAGTAATATTTAATTGAAAAGAGCTAGCTAATAACCCATCTTGCTATATATGTTATTGATAACGTGAAACAAATAGAATGGTTAAAATGAATGTAATTGCTGAAATGAATTGAATGGTTAAAATAATTAGTATAGCTAGAACTAACAGAACTGTAGTAAGTAAATCAATAATATATAGCTGCTGTATTGTTTAACTTACTAGCAACCTATCTTGTTTATATGTTTGATACCCTATGCACCAGAATAAAATACAAGCATCTTAAATTCTTACTTTGCACCAGAAAAAAAAACTCTAAGCATTTACCACATAGCTTTTATGATATAGCCTTTACCATACTAGTATTGTCAAGAATAGAAATGCTCATTTGACATAAAGATGACCAAATAGGGTTGAGTCAATAAAAACCAAGCAAATATTTTTTAATTAGTTTTTTTAAAATTTTAAACAAGAATAACTTAACAAAAACTTGATCAAATTCAATAAATTTTTTTTTAAAATAATTCTACAAGTTTGTAAAAATTATTTAAAAAAATTTTTATCAAATTTGGTCAAGTTTTTATTAAGTTATTCTCGTTTAAAGTTATAAAAAAAATTTATTATAAAAAATTTGCTTGATTTCTATTGACTCACCCCCAAATAGTAAACTTTAGAGTAAGTATATACTTTACATTAGCTTTGATTTGTAATTGTAACAATTAAATTTTTCTTTTATATGCATATGTGCCATTGTATCACATATTATACTAGAATCGTATTACTATTGCTCAAGTTATACAGGCTACATGTAGCCTATAGCTACATCTATATTAATTCAATAAATAAAATTTTACTAATTTTAAAGTAATAAGTATATATATAAGTATATTCTAAACAACTTAGAAGATAAAAGTAAGCTATCTTAATAGAAAAACAAGTTAGCTATATGTTAAAGTTAAAAATTCTAATTTTTCTATATATAACTTTTTTTTTCACTTTATAACTTGCTTTTGTTTTTTAAGTAAAGTTGTTTAGCATAAAATTTTATATTTTTAAAATATTTTTGTTTGTTTTTGTAAATTTTTTACTAAATAGAGTTAAAGTTAAAAAAAATTTTTTTTCTTAATTAGTAATCTATGAGTCAATTAGAGAGTAATCACAGTAAAATATAATATGGATCATTTATAGAAATTGGGATTTCACAAATATGGCATACATATATTTAAATTTTTTTTTTATACTAAGTTAACTACTTTTCTAATTTAAAAGACTTTTGTAGAGCTTGTTAAGACATATATAATAATAATTAAATCATTTAAATTGGTCTAGTAAATGCCAAGATATCTTTAAAAAGCCTTTTTTAACTATATAAATTTCTTTGTAAAACAATAGTATTGTTTTAAAGAAATTTACATAGTTAAAAAAAGTTTTTTTAATGATATCTTAGTATCTACTAGGCTGATTTAGATGATTTAACTACTACAGTCTGGGATATCTCCAAATTTAGTTTGTGTAACAAATAACATTTTGGAATAATAATAATCGATTCTAGAATCATCTATAAAATTTCTCATATTTTTATTAGCTCGTAGTCATACTTTTTCAATATGAAATATTGAGTCTTTTATAATATCTATTGACAATCAATAATTATATATGTAAAAAGTAGAAGTTTCAAAGATTCGTAATCAATATAAAATCAATTATAATTAGTCTTGTTTAACGAAATAAATGAGACCCAAAAAAAAGATAATTTCAAAGCTTATACTTCTTGGTTACTTGAATTTTTATACTTTTTTTTTTTTTTTTTTTTTAATATTAAGGTGACCACTTAGGCCCCTGATACATAGCTTTATTTAAATAGTTATGATATTACATTAATTCATGAGGATACAACT